GGCCGGTACCTCCAACCCATCCAAAGAGTGCCGCTCACCCCTTAAGGAAACTACTGTGTAAAACAGTACGTTTCCAGAACTGTCTTATAGCACCTCTGCATCCGCGAATACAGAGAGAGCATAAGAAAACGCTCTCAGAACCGATCTCAATACCGCGCAAAAACTTGACGGTTTACAAGTCGCACAGCATCACAAAAAACCGTCCTATTTCCAGTGAAAAAAACAAGTAGAAAACCAAAAGTGGTGCAAAAAACGTTTTAAAAATACACTAAAAAGAAACTCGGGAAAAACTTTAGCTTTCTCAAAGTTAACGTTTTTTCAAGAATTAATATGCACATTAAGGAAATGTTCAAATTCACCAAATTCGGATGATTTTACTATGACGAATGGCAGAAATAACTTTGAAATTTAAATAAATATATACAACAGATGCTGCGGAAATGCTTATTTCAGAATGTATTAAAAAATAATGAAGTAGCCAGTAGAACGGAAAACGTTATGAAAGTGGTTATATATATATATAAAAATCGCAAAGGGTTACTGCGCAATTCTGGAAGGAAAACTTCAAAATCATAGAAACTAAACTACTTAGTTGTTCTCCAAAAGGATTTTTTATTGGTATTTCCACAATTAAATGAGAATCGAATATTTCGTGCCACAGAAAAATCTCTGGCCTGACTAACGAAGTTTGTTAACAAAAAATACTGCTTGGACCAATAACGACGAAGAAGTCACAGACCAAACGAATAAATACTTGGACACAACAACAATATGGCAGTTCGTTATCGCACTTTATTCAAAAGTTTTTTTGCCTGTGAACGTGGATTTAAGTTACAGAAACAACAACATCGCTCCGAAGTCAGAAGTTATGATGCTATCTAATGTATCAGCATAACTTGAAAAGTACAACCAACAATATAAACACGGTACAAAATCGAATTACGTACATCACAACTTCCACATCATTACTGGAGAAAACGGAAATAAACAACTGCGATACACTATAACAATTTTATGGAAAGTGAAATGCGAAAACAACAAAAATAGCACTGATAAAAAAAGTAAAAAAAAAAAAAAAAAAAAAAAAAAAA